CACACAATTGTGCCTCCTGCCATGCCACACGTACACAGCAGGCAGCGTGATCATGGGATCACACATTGGATCCCATTGCACTTTGTCACCGGTGCAGGAGGAGCCTGGGATCCAGCCTGGGACAGGTCTCCAAAACGAGCCTGGGATGATGATCCCAGGCCCCTGCGGCTTCAAGCCCCACAGCTGACCGGGCTAGCAGCAGGGACAGTGTTGCCTGCAGCAGTTGCCCACACTGCCCCCACTGCGAGCCCGTGGTCTGTGAGGCTCACCGCAGGAGCAGCCCTGGGAATGCTGCCCCCGCTGCAGGGCTGGCAGTTAGGGCAGCGGGGACAACTGCCACTGCCGTGAGCCTTGTGAGCTGCAGGACTCTCAGCGGGCCAGCGTTGTCCCCATTGCAAGCCCGGCAGGGACCCCAGCTGTGGGGTGCACTGTGGGGGCAGCATGGGGGAACACTGCTGCCACCATGAGCCCTGCGTCTTGCCAGAACTAGCAGGAAGAAAATATTTTTCCTTTTACTCTTCTTTTCCCCACCCCAGTACCTCCCAGACCTGCCATTTAAAACAAGTATATTCGGTGGCATCCAGAATGCCGGACAAGAAAATGGTCTCTCTTAAGTTACTGTCTCAGCATTTTACCTTTTATAGTCCTGCGTTATGGCCAGCAACACTCATTATAACTAATATATGGTATATGTAAAGTCTGTTGAATTGATGCATCTGACAGAATGGTATCTAGTCGGTGTTCGCATTTTCCTTGCGTAGTCGTTCGGGTTTCAATTCAGCAAAGTTCTTAAATACGTGCTTGAGCGCTTTGCTGTGTCAGAGCCTTCTGTTCTCTTATTATCTGAGTAGGTCTTTCCCATAGTTACGGAGGAAGGGGGCGTCACAGAAATTGGCAGGGGAACTTGGGACAGATGTACAACTTGATATTACATTTATTTTGAATTAACTAGATAGACATTGGCCTTTTAAGCTTGCATCTTAGATAGCTGACTGATTAAGTCTCTCTCTCCCTTTCTCATTAGAGGAATCCTGTAACATCACCGGTCCCGCTCTTTAAATTGGCAAACTTCTTTCTCCTGCCTCACCGCTGCTTTATGCTGGACATCATGGCTGACCCTACAGCAGAAGAACAGGTCTCCAAAACGAGTGAAGTTTGTCCTGAATGTGGCCAGTTTCACCTGTTATCAGAAAATCATCTTTATAATTTCCAGGATGAAGTGGATGATGAATTGATTTGTCATATCTGCCTTCAGCCTTTGCTTCACCCTATGGATACCCCATGTGGACACACATACTGTTTCAGGTGCCTTGAGAACTTCATGCAGGAACATAATTTTTGCCCCATGGATCGCAAAAAACTGTGCTTCCAGCATTGTCGAAAGTCCAGCCTTCTAGTAAGGAACCTGTTGGATAAGCTGATTGTTCTCTGTCCTTTCCACACGCTATGCCAGGAGACCATGCAGAGGTGTCAGCTAGAAGCTCATCTACAGAACAGGTGCATGTGTGTTTATGTAATGTTACCGCCAACTGCTTCATAGTTTCATAGTTTCTAGGGTCGGAAGAGACCTGAG